TAACAACAACAACAACAACAACAATAATAATAATAATAATAATAATAATAATAATAATAATAATAATAATAATTGCATTTATATAGCGCATATCCATGCTCAAGAGCATGCTCTATGCGCTTTACAACTTTGCAGACCCTCTGATAATACTCTGAAACATTCTCGGCTTCTGCGGAAGCATACAGTGCAAGCTTCGGATTTCACGCGCTCAAACACTATCAAACCGACACGATCGTTCACTGTCTATTATAGCCGGGTAGCCTACCCCTTTCCACCTGGGTGAAGTGAGGAGAATTTGTGCAAACTGCCTTTCCCAAGGACACAACGTCGGGCCCCTGACGGGATTCGAACCCACGACCTTACGGTTGCGAGTCCGAGAGCCTTACCACTAGGCCACCGACATTTGCCTATTAAACACCACAGTACATGAAATACAATTTTTTAAAAACCCAGACGAACTAGCAAACGTGGCGGGAAAAGTTAGTCTTATAATAAATTTATCGAAAATAGAAGTACTACGACTATCACCAGAAACCACGCCCAGCACTCTTTATGGAGAACCCCTCGTAGAAATTAATAAATTCAACTACCTTGGCAGCATTATATCCAAAACTGCAGTAGACTGCCTTGACAACGTCCACCAAATACTTTAAAATGCATGGGTCGCTTTTGTAAAATTAAAAACTATATGGAAGTCAAAAATCATTTCTTTGAAGACGAAATAAGAAATATTATATAATAGCAATATTTTGGTTGTATTGACGTAAGGTTCAGAGATATGGAAAACAAACAAAATCTGGTAAAGGGGCCTAAACAATGATAAGAGCTGTGGTAACAGCCAGAGACATGTTTGTGTCACACAACTAGGCAAGCAACAAAACAAAACAAAACAAAACAAACAAAAAAAACCCAAACAATACAAACAACAAACAACAACAGAAAAAAATCAATACTGACAAAATTTAGGGTTAAGGTAAGGGTTAGAGTAAGGGTTAGGATTAGGGTTAGGGTTAGGGTTAGGGTTAAGGTAAGGGATAGGGTAGGGTTAGGGTTAAGGTAAGGGTTAGGGTAGGGTTAGGGTTAGGGTTAGGGTTAGGGTTAGAGTTAGGGTTAAGGTAAGGGTTAGGGTAAGGGTTAGGATTAGGGTTAGGGTTAGGGTTAGGGTTAGGGTTAAGGTAAGGGTTAGGGTAAGGGTTAGGATTAGGATTAGGGTTAGGGTTAGGGTTAAGGTAAGGGATAGGGTAGGGTTAGGGTTAAGGTAAGGGTTAGGTTAGGGTTAGGGTTAGGGTTAGGGTTACGGGTTGGGGGTTAGGGGCGAGGGATTATGGTTTTGGGTTGAAAGAGATCCTCGTGCTAGAAGTAGTCTACGGAGAGGGTTAATGAAAGAAAATGGCAACGTTCTGGACTTAAATGATGTATAAAAAAGAAACATCAATGCCTTTGGAAAATCAAGTGCAAAGAGGAGGGCAACAGACAAATCAAAGACCAATCATGCGAGGAGCTCGTTAGTTATGAGAAAAACTTCAAGCAAATGCCGCAAGCAACAGTGTCATTACAAAATAATCCTCGAATGGTCTCCGTATTGCAAGGAATATTAATGTTGCAGTCAATCTATCAGGTGGCAAAATTATTTCATTAATCGTGGTATTCAGTTTTTCTATCAAGGGACTCATGATGTGCATCGAATTGGTGAACGTGCTCCCGTAAAAAAATTCAGATACCATAAATTGACCCTAAATCGTCAACTTAAAAACCAGCTCCTCCCCTGGGCCACGAGAGCCCCATCATTCATTATCTTTCTCTGTAAATATACCTTGGCACTTGGTCAGCCTGGGAGACAAGCAAACATGACTCTGACCTTCAAAGGTTTGAACATTTATTTTAATTTTAATGTTACTTTTTCTTTTCTTTTTTTAATTTTTTTTTTTTTT